GGGGGGGGGGGGGGGGGGGGGGGGGGGGAGTCTCACCGAAAGCTCGCGATTGCCCCCCCGTCTCGCCGGTTGTGGTGAGATGATTCGCTGCTTGCTTGGGTTGCTTGCCACTATTGCAGTGGTGAAGGGCGAAGTTCTGAACCCAAAAGAAGAAGGTCTTCATGTATACCACCTCCTTGGCCCTCCGACGCCAGGCTGCACACCTCAAGCGCAACACTGCAGCTTGTATCCCGGTACGTAGCAGGAGACAGCGCACTTTTTACTCTCCTCATTGATCATGGACAGAGGACGCCACCGTGGCTGTCTCGTCCAATGTCTCAACGTCCTCACTGCAGCCTCAAGATAGGTTTGCTTTGCTGGAGCAGCGGACTCGGATCCGCAACACGGTGTAAGGGCGCGCTCACAACTCAGTGACACCTAGTCCTGCGTGTCTCCTTCCATGTTCAATGGTATCAGATGGAACAGCATGTTCGATGCACAGCACTTCGTCACCTACATCGACAAGCTGAGCTTTTCACCCCTCTTGACGCCGCTTGATGACGAATTCATCCTCAAGGTACGGGTGGGTACGCGTGGAGGGGGAAGGAGGGAGTCATTATAAGTCAGTCAGTGCATATACGCTGACTGACTTCTCCAGATGATGGAGCTCACCCGCGACTTGTCTGGCGATCCTCGAGCCTATTGGGCGCAAATGGAGGAAGAGTGGGCGCAGCGCAGCAAAGATTGGGACATAGAAGAGAAGAAGGAGAACGAGACGCCCTTATCCATTCGAGCGCAACAGCTGCAGGATTCCTGCCGTGCGTTTGTGGACCGACTCATTCCTCTCGGCGACTCAGACCTCACCAAGAGAATGTCGACACGCATTCCTCGCGGTAACTCAGAGAGTGCCAATACGCTGGGAAGCTTAAACCCTCTGTCGAGAGAATTCAAGGAGCAGGTCGACACAGTACTCACGGTAAGGAGGAAGTATGTCGTTAATGGCATTGTCCCAGGGATGGCATCGCGCGAAGGGCTGCATTTCTATGTCTTCGCGAAGACGTTGCCCATTTTCTCTCAAGCCACCGAGATGCAAAGGTCGTGGCGAAAGATGGCCAAGGCGATTGTCAACATCTATACTGGAAACTCGGTCAACGGTGCCATGTATAGCGAGGTGAGAAAGGAGGATTGAATGGTTGCAGGCGCACTTGTTTTTGCCTCACTACAATCTCTCACCTGCCTCTCTCTTGATGTCTGTTGCGCGGTGGACCGCAACGACCGTTTTCTCGACCTCTCTTGCTCCCCGCTAGTGATCGATCGTACGAGACACGGGTCGTTCTGCAGGCACACAAGCACCGAAAGGGAATCGTGTGATGGGGCCTGACTGTCTTTCCATTGGAATCCCCCGAAAGTACCCCGCAACGAGTGCTGCGCTTACCCCGCAACGAGTGCTGCGCTTACCCCGGAACGAGTGCTGCGCTTACCTCGCAACGAGTGCTGCGCTTACCCCCGAACGAGTGTTGCGCTTACCCCGATCTTCATCTACCTGTGATGTGTGGTCATCCCCGTTGCCCGTGTGTGACTGTAGTGTGCTGGCATGAAGTGATGCCGCAACCAAATCGCTTCCCCGTCCTCCTGCTCACCGGTGCACCTTCCCCCATTGCATTGGTACCACCCAGGCATCCGTCTCCCGGGAACCAACCCGAGAATCGACCTGAAAGGGAGAACACACGTTGACTGCCACTTGACTGCCTCACCCTCAAGCCGTGAGGATCCCCCTCTCTCTCGATATCGAATCGTATGGACGAGGAGAAGCAGGAAGCGAGTATGATGGTGAAGGAGGAGGCCAAGCCCTCGTCATCCAACAGCATTCAAGATGGCAGCGGAGCCCCCATCGGCATGCTGAGCTCCCCTTGGCATGCTGAAGGGCCGCCCCGCCTGCTCGGACTCTGGTCGTCATCCTGTGCCAGGCTTGGTTGCTGAAGAGCTCGGTAGTTAGCCTTACATGGAAGGCAAGGCTGATGTACATGCCCCCATTTCCCCCAACGGCCCGGATCATCCTAGCTTGAGACGGCTTCTTGGCCATTGTGTTGTGCGGGCTTAGCCTGCTAGCTTAGCGCACTGGTTTTCACACAAAATCCCAAATCGGACCTTCAAAGTCCTTTCGTTGCAGACCTTTCGTTGGTTCTGCTGGCCTTAATGGTCCTGGTTCCCTCCGTTAGGAGATGGTTTGCGTCAAGCCTCGGCTGACAAGATAGGAGCCTCTTCGTCCTCGGCGGCAAGAGTTCTCCTTGGTCCGTCCCTCTGCGGGAAGTCTTCGTTGGTGATTGTGCCTCCTACGACCGGTGCACAGGTCAGTTTGCTACCTACGCAGATAGGATGCAGGCAGGAGCACAGATCTCTCAACGCTCACGCACGACACGGCCACCCGGTGCCAAATGCAGTCCATGACGTCACACGCGGTTCCAGATACCGCAGATCTATCGCATATATGGCTTCCCCCGACCACCCGATGCATCGCACGTGGCATCCCGGCCACTTTTACCCGTCGCACGCGGCAGCCCGGCCGCCATCCATGTCGCAGAGCCTGTGGCTCATCATATCGCATCCCCTGTCGCACGCGGTGTCGCCCGCCCGTCGCACACGGCCAGAGGCCGCTTTTGCTTTGTGTCTCACGGCTCTGACCGTGCCGTCCGTATTCGGACCCGAATGTGTCTGCCCCGACCAGATCTCGCTTGTTTCCCGACCCCCCGACAGCCCTTGAGGCTTCCCGACATGAGATCTGGTCCTCCCGACATCACACTTGACCTCCCGTCATCGCATTTTGCCCAGATCTGGCCATCCTGACGTTTTCTATGGCCCTTGCGGCCAGATTTCGGCCACTGATGGCCTTCCCGACACACATCGCATACCCCCGATGGCCATTCTGGCCTTCTCAACCGCCCGCCAACAGGTCCGTCGCACCATTCCCCCCTCATCCCTGATGGGTCCCGCTGGCTGGCTTCTCTTGGTTTCTGCGTGTATTGCTCATTGTATATGGCGAGGGATGAGAGATGCGTCCGACGGCCCGCGTATACCTTCGCTTCTCTTCCTGCCTGGTCTGTCTGTGTGCCTCAGATCTCGCTGTCTGCCCCGTTCGTCTGGCTCCCGTCTGCCCCGTTGATTCGGGCTTTCTGACACGCGAAGGTACGCGCGCGGAACACGGGGTGGGTGGGGGTGGACTGGATGCTGCTGCAATAGCCCTCTATGGGTCGCTCGCTCCACCTTCCTCCCCATGCCGACACCATGTCGGGCCGCTCCGCAACGAACTCAAGGCCCCCGCCCCCCCCCTCCCCCCTCCACGAATGGTGAATGAAAAGCAAGGTCGATGACACCAAATCACAGACAGCAGCAGGCTGATGGACAGGTAGATAACACACGACTTTGGATGGTGTCTACGATTTACCTGGCGAGCTCGTTGGGGTACGTCCGTACTGACTGCACCGACACCACATACGGAGAAAAGCTATATGTGGTAGTGCACGCTTTCGATGTCTCACCATCCAGCGCCAAAGAGAAGCGCATGATGTACGCGTCTTGTTTCTCAGGTGACGGTCGATCAACTGCAGTGGATTGGATGGAGGACTCACACAGACACACAGACAGACAGACAGACAGAGAGATTGATGGCATGTACATGCGTATCCTTACAAACCTCCTGCACACATGTAGGAGGCCCATACACACCATGGTGACGAACATTTGTGACTTGTATGGGTTGGTACCGTTGTTACGGTGTCGACTTGGCCATTGATGTTGTCGATCAGCTGGCGAATATCGCTCTTCTCCTGCGAAACTCCTGCATACATACACACATAAACATGCTCGTGTCTGCGAGTGAATGGGTCCCCGTGCGGGTTCAAGTTGGGGTAGTCGGCGGCCCTCCACATCAGCGGCTTCGTGACAACCTTTCCCTACGCAGCACACAAAACACGCTAAGGCGCATTCGCGTTTCTCCTTTCGTCACCTCCCTGTGTGGTCGTTTGTGTGTTGCCTTTGGGAATGGCCGCCTTGATCTGCACCCCCCTCCCCCC